GTACATGTAAGTTGAGTAATACATTGAAAACTGTTTGGAAACCAGTTGTTTCTTTATATCAGATCAAGAATACTTGTACAGAATGTTGGCCAGCTTTTTCAAGTGGTTGCAACGGATCGTTCATGGAATTTGAGTTTGAATTTACTTAAATGGTCATTTCAGTTTAGATGATGGGTTGTTCGACCTCGACCAGGAGATATATAGAAGATTACGCTCAGCAGGGAGATAAAGTATGTAAATATGGAACAATGTCTAGGATATTTGCGGATCTAGTGGGTGAGTTTATGTGTTGTGTCCACCCACCTGTGACGATGGAATTCAGGAGATTATCATATCTTTGGGGTCCTCGGAGTGAAGACCACGATACTTCTGGCATGTTGAAATCACCTCCGATAATTTTATAACTGTGGGGAAGATTGGCTGTAACATTAAATATATTGCTGAGCATATTATCATATTCCCTATTGGATGAAGAGGGTCGGTACACACAACCCACCAGTATAGGTTTACTTCTGACAACTTTTATTCCAACCCAGATCGAGTCATTGAGTTGTGACAGAATTGGGTTACTGAACTGGGTTGCACATAAGGATTGTTCACAGTAAATTAGTGTTCCACCCCCACGACCTCTCTGTCTGTCCCCTCGGAAAAGGTTGTATTTATCAATCCTTAGGCTATCATTGCAGATATCACTTGTGCACCAGGCTTCAGTGGTCATAATCAATGACGGTCTGCATATAGAAGCTGATGTACTTAGTGTTAAGTGTTTGCTTAGAACTGATCTAGTATTTACTAGGATAATAGATAAACACTGGTTATGTGGTTTCAGTGAGTGGACAACATCTTGATAAAATAATCCATGAATATCCTCTATATGCATGTTATTAGACTCATTTGGTGTCGACACAGTGTCAGCTATCTCCCTGGAAATATGCCTTGCCCTAGCTGTAGACTGTTCGCTATGCTGGCAAGGAATTGATCTGTTATCATGCGTGCTATATGCATGATGCCAGGTGTTTCTGTTAACTGGCGCTGGTGAAAATCCTGCCCGAAAGTATAACCGATATGAGTACTCGGTAATTTGTTGCCAGTGCAAGAATGAAGTGTTTGTATATGTTCCGGGTAGTCACCAGACCATAGCAAGTTTTGTGCAGAAATTGGCACATGCTCCCTACTAGATACATAGGATGTATGAGTGGGTTCTGTTGGCTTGCTACATGTAGTCTGTGGTCGATGTTTGGGGGATTTTCTATAGCTTTCAGTCGATAGAACATTGGAAGGGGGTTGGCTAACAATGGGTTTACGTAGTGGATGAGCAGAATAATACCTGCTACCTTGCTGTGCTGTCTGTCTAGAATTAGTGGTAGGATATAACTGACTTTCCACTTGACACCAATTAGGCCTACCTCTAGGAGCTAGGTCTACCATATTTGACTTTCTCTTAGGATGATGGCTCAGAGGTGCTTTCGTCTCTATCATATCAAAGAGCTTTCTTACTCCGGGTTCAGTATTTAATTTACTTACTTCTTTTTCCCTTTTCTTATGATCAACTGGTTGATGATGGCTAACAGGGCAGCTAGCACATGCTATGTAGCGATTCTGTTGCTTGGACACCTCATGCGCTTTAGTTTTCTTAATGGAAATGGGGCGTTTGTCATAACAAAAGAAAATTCTGATGAAGGGTATTAACGTTAGTTTGACCGAATGATATTTCTACTGATTTCATATTCGACAACCTCCGTATACCTAGAAAAAATGAAGCATATGTAAGAACTAGCAAAACATGAAGTCATAAAAGCTGATTTTAAATATAAGCATGCAAGGTGAATACGCTACTCTTATTAATACAGGGAGAAATTCTCATGCAAATAAAAGTATTTGTAGTCCACAGATGGTTTTTATATTAACGTTATATGCGTCAACACATCTCATATGTTTTCCAGTATTTCAGGATCATAAGCGAATTTTAAGACAAACCTTAAAATAAACACACTTTCAAGGCGTTCTCTCGTAATAGTAATAATATATTCTCATTTTTGTACATGAGGGACGCCAGTTTACAGGCATCATCAATGTGATAAATTACACATACGATTAGGAAGCATATTTAGTAATGATTATGTAATAAGGTACATATTTGTTCCTACCAATATAGGACACGTGAGTTGTATAGGCGCGGATAAGTATCATTTAAGTTACACAGATTTGATTTATGGTTAAATTACATGGTTGCTGTCTTTCTGTCTTTACTTTGTGGGAACAATCTGATAACATGTGGTTCAATGCACCACATCAAGAAATATAGAGATATTGACTTCGCATTAACAAAAAACCCAAGTATGCGTTGGATGAATTAGAGATACTTAGGAAAAAATAAAGCTTGAATTCATTTCCCTCATATAACAATGAAATACATCTTATAATAATATATTATCACTTTTTGCATATGAGGGACGCCAGTTAACAGGCATCGTCAATTTGATAATAATGTATACATGGAGTAAGCATGTTTACAATTTTTACTGACACAGAATACATATACAAGTGAAAGATTACTTGGATATCAACTTCACGATAATTCAGCTTATTGTAAAGTAAGAATAGCAAATGGGTAACTTAGAAATCAATCCACAACCTCAGTGATGTCTAATGAATATGGTTTTGTGAATCTTACAGAAATTACATCCTCTCATTTGGGAAACCATAGCCATCAAATATAAGCTGGGCATGCCTCAACTCTAAACAGCTGTTCATAGTGTTAACAACAGAGAAACACTTAAAATATTGTAAGATACATAGGCCTGTTGTATTGATGAGGATAACAGTGTCATGTCATGCAACCTAGATATTCAATCGTGATACTGCATCTGTACTGGCTTCATGTAAATCGAAATTTCAGGAGAAATTCATCTTCACTATTGGTGATCAAAAATATTGCAGCATTAAGCATGTGGTGTCAGTGGGAATGATATAACAGACAGCGGACTGATAATAATAGAGCTGACTAGATTAAGTTCTCATAATCAAGCTCATCCATGTGTAGAATAATACTATACACTGAATTAATGCACTGAGTGAAACAGTGAGGAAAATTAAACGAGTAATTGAATTCCGCACTGCACTTCATTTGCAGCAGTCATGAGAACCACCCATATTTGCTAGCCTAGCAGTCAACCAATCACACAAAGGCACAATATTAATAAAGTAGATATTTTTTATACATTGAATCCACATAACCAATATTGCACTGCACCAACCAGAGCAAATATAGATTGAGTCCACTTAGATATAACCGCTCAACTTACGATAATTCCTGTCCAAATACTCATACGGTAAAAGACTTATCTACATGATAACTCCTTTTCCCACAGAAGGTTCTGTTAGCATTTACGGGTGATTTCCATGTACTGATAGCATTCACTTGTCAAATAGTACTGTTCTTCACACAAAAATATACTATGCCAAAAGGTGTAGCTTCTACATGAAGTAAACTATTTGTTTAGATGAAATTATCCTTAAACTATCCCCTCTTGTTCATCATAGCGATATTTTGACACAGTCCACCTGAAACACTAATCAGTGCAACCAATATGCTAAAAGTGTGTCGCAGTCATATCACACGATGTGGACACTAACATGACTAGTCAGGAGGTGAGAATTCCCATCAATCCAGAAAACATGTAACACAATTTTATTAGGATTTATTCACAAAATATTTGCCAAGCAAAATTTCAACCAACATGTCGGATAAGTCCAGCCAGTTATTATTACAAATAGCAAACTAATGCTACTTATGATAGTAGTGAGCATTAATTGGAAATATAGCTTAAGAACTTAGGATACGAAAGCCTACAGGGAAAATAATAAAAAGGAAAACCACAACGAAAAGTGACACAAACTTTTAAGGCGGCGTCGAACTCTCCACAAGGAATCATATTCGAGAAATTATTTAGCAGTTTCTATCACCTCCCCCGTAGTCTCTATAACCTCTGGTGTGGTTGTACGTTCCCAAATCCTATGGAAGAAGCGTGAGACATACACTTTTGGGGATTAACTGTCAAGATCGTTCGAAGCGTTGAAATAGGGTACTTAAGGGATCTGTGTGATCTACATAAGTGTTCGCTATAAGAACATCGACATACATAAAACCGAAGTGAATACTTTGCGTGACTTTATCTGCGATGCATTGGAATGACCGAACAGCACTCTTTGTAACGAGAGGCATGCGCGGAAATTCTAGCAGTCGAAAATGTGCTATAATGGCTATTTCTTCAATGTCTTCCGCAGGTGATGGATTCTACAGTTCCTCACTGCTGTCACTACCTTCTTCGCCAGTTGTAAGATTTCTCTCTCATACCCTCGACTTGGTGTGGGTAACTTACAATAAAGTGGTAACCGCCCTTGATTTAACTGCTAATCAATGATTTTTCCAACATGACAGTATATGGAAAGGCACTCGTTCAAGTCAGTGTGACTGGCCTAGCCACTACTAAATGTAAGACCGATCACCACATTACAGTAGTAGCTCTCAGCTAAGAACCTGAACACTGAGTGCAGTCACCAGAGATCCAACTTGTTATGATGAGCAGGATACATAAGTTGGAATTGATTCACAGTTATTTATCATTATCAGTCGTTATTCGATTGAATACACTTTGATGGACAGTATAAAAAGTGCATGAGGCCGCTAATTTGTTCCGTAGCTTGGGTTTCGAAAAAAACTTAATTCCACGATGACTTATGCCATTCCTCTTTTACTTTGCAGGTGTTTTCTTTAGCATTTCGAGCCAGCAATCACACAAATTATGGTGGGACTGCTGCCTCCTGTAGATTTGCAAGAAGCGGCCTATTAGGGCTAATGGTCTCTGTACATTTTAGCGGAGTCTTGGAAAAAAGGGTGGACACGTGTTTTATTACCGATTACATAGGTTAAGGGGAACAAGCTGCTTTCAATCTGTATTCGAAAGGTTCAATGTATAATGTTGAAATCGATTATTGAACATCTACTGAAATTTTTATCCTTGGACTGCTTAAGTATTTTATCCTTACAGTTTTGTCCTAACACGTTCGACAGCATAAGAAAACAATCGAAGTGAAGATATTAGTTAAATAATTAAGATTTGAAGCGGAGAAACAAAATTGAGTGTTGTCATACTTTAACTGCTCTGATGTCACGCCGGCGCGTAGCGGGTTAGGTTTTGTTCATGGCCACCAGGCAGCCTGCAAGCGACCACGTGAATATTTCGGATACTGTAAGTATTTTTCAATCAGTTTTACCTAGGTTTATTATGTTAACAGAAAACCTTGTTAAATGCTCGTTTACAAGTGGATTCCAATCACTCTACGACTGACTCTCACTCAAGATTGAATGGTTGCCTAGTCAATAAAGACAATCCTTGGGCGAAAGGTATGTCCTATCCGTATACAACAAGATATATTGCAGCCCCGGGAGCATCTGGCGACGGGTCAGATGCGACTACATGTCAACCGGGTGCTTGCAGTAAAGACCAAGACTGGCCAACCCTTCAAAGCGCCTTGTCTCAAGTGTCACAATGCAATACAAGCACTATAGTTACAAATTCCAAAACAAAGGATAAACAGAAGCGAAATGTAAGTTGCTTTTGTGTGATTGACATCTGTAGTCCACTGAAACCAATACCTATCAGGTTGATTTAAATGTAAAATCTACGGTAACTAACCATCAGAAAAAAAAGTGGGAACAAGCCTCGATTGAGTATATTTTCCCTAAGCCTAACAATATTGATGGGTTTGCTGGTTCGCGACCAGATGCTAACCGATGGAGTCGATCAGGTGAACATGATAAAGAAAATTACCACAATGGGAAGTCTAGGATTGAAAGTAATAACTCATCTGAGAAGGGGAATTCTGTATCAAATGCAAATAGTCTTGGAAGCTCAGGGAATCGTCCTCGTCCATTCGTTCGTTACATGAGGTATCCAAAATCTAGTCGTCCTCAGGTAAGTTATTTTACCACTTCAAATTGTTATGCGCATCAGTCTGTAGCCCATATTTATGTAACTTGTTACTGTAGTATTTATTAATGTTCTGTTATGGTACTCCCACATTGCTCAGTTGTTACAGTGTTCTAATTTTGGTCGCGTTTTTGTTGCTAAGTGTGTTAACTTTAATCTTCAGGAGATTCAGAATAGAAGGTTTAGGGTATTATGCAGTTTCGCTTTAAAAGCTTTAACCTGAGTAGCATAAACCACCGGTAAGAGCTAGTTCCAGGTGTTCACAATGCGGTGCCAGAACCTGAGTTCTATCTCTTCCTTTAAAATCTCACAGGGTTTGTTATTTGTACTTGTTGCATGACCCTGAAAATTTCATTCTGCATGGTTATAATTGTTGAGATTGAAGTGATTGCTATTGTATGTTATATATAAAATGACGTTTATCGTTTTATGAAACGCTCCAGACTGCACACATGTTAGGTATGTTATTCTAGGTTTATTGAACTAATTTAAGCCCTCGAAGTCGGTAGTAGGATGTTTACTGGTGCATGTAGTAACAACAGGTCTCTTAACATTTGGTAGATCTAACCGTCGTTTGACTATACTACTTTTGCTCCGTAACCGCCCTCACTGATTTTTCATAAAAATTACACGATTTGTCTAATATACTAACATTGCTTCCGAGTAAGATGCTGTGGCAATGCCTGGTCGTTACGACTGCTAAGAAACTATATTTTAATAATAAAGGCAGTACTTGAACTCTTGCAACCGTATGAGCTTATGTAGAGTGGTCATCTGAAATAGCGTCTATCCCAGTACGTTTTGTCCTTTCTTTGTGTACTTTACATAATACAGCGGTGCTTTTCCAGAAACATTCAGCGTTATTTTTGCGATTAAATTAGTAATCTTTGGGGACATGAATTAACCTTTGCACAGTGGTGTCTCATCTAAGGTTGACACAGCCTAGATGTTAAGATATAAATAAGACAACAATGACATAACAAGCATATGTTGGAAGTATTTCATGGGGAATTGCTATTTTCAGCACTTCATAGGTGATGTGGAATGTGTGAGCTTCAGAGAAGTATTTAAGTGAGATAGTAAAGAAGTTTATGCCTGTCTGTATTGAGAAATGAATAGGGATGTATGAAAATATAGATGAGATGGTTTACCACTTATGTTAATGAATGGCAGTTTTGTGTCAGCAATTCAAATAATAACTGTGTGATGTCACGCGTTAAGCAAAACTTCATTTATTTATTTTGATTTACAGATTGATTCCACACCGTATTTTCAGTACAAGTATGGAATTTTCAGCATGGATATCGGTAGCCCAGATTCAGGCTGACCATAGATATCGGGTGTGCGCCGGCAGGGGATCGAACCCCGGACCATGTGCATGGTCGGCGAGAGTTCTAACCACTGTGCCACCGACGCACATATTCATATAATCACTGAGGAATTGGTAACAATTTTGTGCCTCAGAAAAAAGGGGAAACAGTTTGTCGAAGCAGATGACTCTTAACAGGGCTTTATTTGTGGTTTTTTTTCAAAAACTCACTTCTCAGGGTATTGTGTTCTCTTTGTAACTATCCCCTCCTTAGCGTCGTCAACAACAGTCTTCCGGTGCCACTGTAATGGCATCCAATCGTCATATAGCCGGATCCACGAATTCAGGATCAGCATACAATGTCACGAATCCTTTATGGGTTCCAACTGATGTCAGTCAGATTGCAAATGTTGGTCGTTTATCAACTCAGGGTCATCCAGCTCCACAAAGAATTAACACCTTGCCTCACTTGATTCCAATTCCACTCTATGGATCAAATCCTCAGAGTCCATCTTTATCACCTACATTTCGTAAGTTAAATTTCATTGCTATGATAAACAGTTTTTTTGTTTAACTATCCTGTGATCATTTGTACCAAGATTTTGTCGAAGTAAGAAGGATCCCGTTTAAGTCCAGTTTTAATGAGGTTTTTCCGTCTCAAATCAAACCTTGACACCAGTTGTTCTTCATTGTCAACTGTGAAAGGCGATTTATCTTGAAAAAGACAAGATGATTCAAATGGATAGTTAGGTACTATAGGTTACTTGATCGGGAATATATATCTTTGTGCAGGTGCTTTCTTATACTAATTTCCCTCTGTCATTGTATATTTTCATTCTTTTTTATTTTTATCATTTGAAGTTTTACGGCTAGTTGTTTTAGTTTCATTTGTTTTTTCTGTCTTTTATCTTGATGTGATGTGTAACGTATGATAACCGGGATTACTGCACAGCAAATACCGGAGGTTTCGACCTGCTAGCAGTCGCGCACAGTCATCGGACTCGGTGTGACTATATTATTCATGAAACATGCTGAACACACCACACAGACAGTTTTACAAGATGATACTGAAATACACTTTCTGCCTTATTGTAGCATGTGCTGTTGTGATTACTAACGCAGTGTATGCGACACAAAAATGAAACTTAAACTATTCATGAAACATCATTGCATACATCTAGCAGTAACCTGGAAAGCAGGACGAAAAATAGTGTTTGAGTCACAACACGTAACAGACATAAAAACGCCTTGAAGACGTAGCTACTGCATATATGCAGGGAACGGTTGCCAACGAAACTGCCTGTGACAGAGCAAAGTTCGAACCTATGACCCAGTAATTCAAGGTCAAACTTCAGAATAGTAAGATAAATAAATCTGACGTTTTTATTCAAAAGTCTAATCAAAGTTGTATTTCACAAACATGCTTCTTAGAGACTGTCTAAATTATTGTCAAACAAATTCCCTCCCTCCCCCTTGGAGGAGGGTGGTAGTTGCGGTCGACATTGACTGTGCGTAAAGTAGGAGGCCACTAAGATACCTGTAGGCACATTTGCTGTAGAAAGTTCTTCGTGACATATACTTGAATTTACAGGATTAAAAGGATGTTTAGTTTCAGACAAAACTCGTTCTCAGTTACATTTAAGGTATAACATCATGAGAAGGCGCATACTTCCTCTGGCTACTAGTACGTATGCATGGAATAAGGCTCATAAAGTTCGGGTTAGATTTGCTCACTGTTCAGTCCACATCAAGATTCACTTATTACATATATTAAGAGTAAATAAAATAAGTAGATTTTTGAATGGATGGTTCAGTTAGATAATTTCCATGCTATGTACTTTTGTTTCTCTAGTTTCAGCTGTTGGATACCCACTGTTGATGATTTACCCAACAACACCTGTGGCAGCACCAACAGTTTCTGGAGCTTCTGATCCTATCTACGACTACTGTACTGCTGCTGCTGCCGCCGCCGCCGCCGTTGCTAGCCAGCAGTCCAATATGCCCGTTGATCCGTCAGATGCATCACAATCAAGACCAACTGATTCTTCAGAGCAACAGAATCGTTTACTTCCTCAATTTTGCACAACCCCACTAGTATCACTAAATGCAGCTCCTGCATTGAACAATGTTTTTACATCACTATTTCCGGGGACAACTATTGCTCAACCGGCCAACTTGTGTTTTCTTGCATCTTCAAGCAGTGATCCTACAGTTCTTATTCGTCATCAGATATTGCATCAAGTTGAATTCTATTTCAGTGCAGATAATCTAGCTAGAGATATATATCTTCGTCGTCAGATGGATTCTGATGGTTGGGTGGATGTTAATGTGATTGCTAAGTTTAATCGAGTGGCGTCTGTCTGTAAAGATCTGAATGATATTCTAGAGGTATGTTCTTAAGTGTTTCTTCCTGCATAATTTTGTATCACTGTCGTCCAAATGATATTTTGCCTTTGTGTCAGGCATAGATTCCAAGACTGTCTGGGTTCCTGTGTTAATATAGTTGCCTGACAAATGAAGGTAGAACCTTACGAAAATTTACATTAATTCTAACAGCCACCCAGAAGAAGAGAGCAGAAATGTGGTTTTATCATAGAAGGCAAATGTGGGTGTATAGCTGGCAAACTAACTAAAAGAAGGTTAGGGGAGATGTTCAGAAAGTGGGAGGTGACAAAGTTGTGAACAGACCTCTCTGTCATTACTAACGGTTTACAATCCTTTGATAAAGTCTGCAGTTTTTGATGCTTAGCATCCTGAGTTTCAAAAGCAGACATACACTATTGGCTGGCTGGCTGGATTCAACATAGAACTTAGCACTGAGGTGCAGCAGTTCTAGTTGCCACCTTCCAAATAGCACACAAAGGTAGACAGAAAAATGGGAGAAGAGAATCAACAGAATTTAGATAAGTATAAGAATGAAACAGAATGAGTAATGGTAGAAAGGAATATGAAGGATTACAGAGACTGAATACATCTGCGTAAGCCACTGACAACGATTTTGAGCCATGTCACCTATTGTCTCCAGCCATTGATTCTTAGAGTCCCGAGGCCAGGCCCCAACCCGGAAGTCTGCATCTCCCTACCTGACTCAGTTTAACTGTCAGGGATTTCATGGATTGATTGATGCGATGTTTTTGTTTGGCCGCCACTTACTCTTTTCCAACCTGCACCTATATCAGCTAGTAATGCCCGTCGGGGGAGACGATGGCTAGGCATGCGCAGCACGTGACCAAGCCATCTCAATCTATGTAACTTCATAGCCTCTTCGAGTGATTTTCCCTCTTTGCCCAACACTCTACGCCTAACGTCAACATTACTTACCTTATTATACCACCTAACGCGAGAAAGAGATCGTAAACATCTGTGGTCAAAAACAGACAATCTCTTCATGTCTTCCGCTCTCAATGGCCACGTCTCACTACCATAGAGAAGGACGGAGCGAACTGCTGAGCAGTATACACGTCCCTTGGTTGACAGCTGAATGTCACGCCTACGCCAGAGACGGTGTAAGTAAGCGAAAGCAGCCCGAGCTTTCTGGATCCGTGCTGTGATTTCGTCACCAATCAATCCGTTGGTGCTGATACAACTTCCCAAATAGGTGAAGTGGTCAACATATTCTATCACTTCACTCCCTATCACTAAGCTAGGAGTTGACGTAGTCCAGTCCTGTAGCAGCATCTTACATTTTACAGGGGCGAATCGCATGCCAAACATACAAAGATTGCTGCTCAAGGTGTTCAGAAGACTCTGCATTTTGTCAGTGTCCTCCCTTAACAGGACTATGTCGTCTGCGTATTCTAAGTCTATAAGACTATTCCCTGGTAACAAGTCGATTCCTAAGTCGTTAAGTTCACTTAAGGATACTTCCATTAGCATATCTATGATGAAGTTAAACAGAAAAGGGGAAAGTGGACATCCTTGACGGACACCACTGGTTGTTATCAATTCAGATGACAATTCCCCATAAACCCTTACACAGCTACGTGAGTTTGAGTAGAGTGCCTTGATTAGTGCAATGTACTTTCTTGGCACTCCCTTCATAGTTAAACATTGTCATAGTACCTCTCGATCCACGGAGTCGAAGGCCGCCTTCAAGTCAAGAAATATGGCAATTGTTGGACGCCTAAAAGTGTGTCTATGTTCTAGGATCTGTCGGAGAGTGAAGATATGATCTATGCACCCTCTACCTGGCCTAAAGCCCGCTTGATTTCCCCTCGTTTGTTCCTCCCGAGTTCGGCTTAGTCTGTGCATGATTACTGAGCCTAGGATTTTAGAGACTATGTTCGTTAGGCTGATTCCTCTATGATTATCACATGAGGACTTGTCTCCCTTCTTGAATATTGGTATGATAAGTGACTTACCCCAGTCTGGTGGAACCGTCTCTGATTCCCAGACGTTACCTAGTACCTTAGTTAAACTATATACTAGTGTGTCACCCCCATATTTAAACACCTCCGGAATAATTCCGTCGGGTCCTGCCGCTTTGCCTCGTTTCAAATTACAGATAGCTTTGGTGACCTCACTTACAGACGGCGGGCCAGTGTCTATATCCCATTCGGGTGTGTGCTGGATGGCGGGGAGGCTCAGTGTGGCTGTAGGCAAGTTAAATTGTTCCTCAAAGTGTTCTTTCCAGCGTTCGAGGCGTCTATCCTGAGAGCTAATTAAGGAGCCATTTTTCTCAGAAATAGTCTCACTTACGATTTGCCTTCTCCCACCCGTTTCCCTGATGAGTCTAAAGAGTTGCCTAGTGTTGCCTATCGCCGATGCTTTTTCCATCTCTTTCGCCTTTGTCACCCACCACTGTTCACGGTCCTTGCGGAGACTTTTCGTAAGTTTCTTTTGTGCAGCTTTCGCTCCTCATTGAATTCGGAGCTCGCCGGAATAAGTCTTCTAGCATCTATCAGTTCGGATGAGGCAGTCGAAATCCAATGGTTTTTACTCACCTTTGGATTTACCTTATTCACAGCTTTTACATCAGTATCTATGGCTGACTGAATATTTTTCCAGGCTTCTTCAGGGTGAGCGCAGCTGTCGAACTCAGATATGTGTTTAGCTAGTTCTTCCTCAAATAGGGACTTAGTTTCCTGATCGAGCTGGGGACGTGATGGGTTTATCGCCAGCTGTTTCCTACGTCCGTTCAGTCGTAAGCATACACGAGACATACACTATTAGGGGCAATAAGGAACCACAAAAGGACGACAATAAACGGAAAGGCACGGAAGGTGGAATATTTACATGCAGAGTGATGAGAATTTGTTGAACGTAGGAGTTTATAAAGAATGAGTGGTTCTGAGCCATGTCACTAACAGTCTGCATTCATTGGTTACTGGAATCTGGAGCACTGTAACCAGATAGACTACACACCTATTGATGGTTCAAACGCGCATTCAGAAACATCACAAATTGGTCATGTGTTTTCGCCTTACCACCCATTAGTCTTCCAACCTAATCCCATGCCAGGTAACATTTCTCGTTGACGAATGGTGATGGCTCAGTGTACGTAGCACATGTGCCAGTCATCTCAGTGTAGTTCCATAAACTTATTGGTTGATATTCAGGTGTTGGTTTGCAGGGATTTGATTGGTTACAGGATCCTGTCATGAGCTGACATCGGCTGGAGAACCAACCGGGAATACCGGACAACTGTTTTGTCCTAGTGTGGGACTCTTCAACAGTACTCGCCCACTGGGGTAGAGGGCTCCCGATGATACTGCATGCTTGTCTCCTTTCGCAAGAGGAGAGGTAGGTATGTTCGGTTCCCCTGAAAACCTAATCCCAGTCCATGGTTGTATGATTATGTGAACCCCAGTGCAGGTGCGTAATTATTGGTTAACTCTCCCTCTTTACTTAGCTTCCTACACCTGGTCTCAATATTATCATAAGTTACTTGGCACGGGAGAGATACAACGGTAATATCTGTTGTCAAAGACAGCTAGTCTCTTCAAGCCTTCCACTTTCAACTGCCACGTCTCACAACGGTGAAGAACTTAGGCGTAATACACATGTCCTTTAATGGATAGCGAGGTATCACCTTTACGCCAATTATAACGAAAGTTGGCAAATGGCGGGGAAGCTGTTTGTATACATGTTGGGGTTCGGTCACCATTCAGTTCATTAGGGCTAATGTTATTTCCCAAATAAATAAAGTGATTAACACGCTAAAGCATTATTGCTCATTGAAGGAGGCGGTAGCTGGATATCCGTAACACACACATACAGCAGCCACCATTGATGGAGTTTCAAAATTCCAATTACTGATCGTCACTTCTTCTCTACCTTCAGTACTAATATTGCCTATTATGCTATGCTTAAAAGGAATAATTAAACGGAGGAACCTATGGTTAACCCCCCCCCACATCTACTTTATTTATAGTGTCCCACATCCCTAAAGGAAGATAGACTGAACTGCCCCGTAATACCCTTCACCTGAAGTAGCCAGATACTACTCTGACATCATAAATGATGTAAGTTATTGGCTGCTAAACCAGCCTTGGGTGTCGTTGCTAAAACTCTGATTAGCAACCAATAACTCCCTTCAAGTAAAAGTGCAAATAAATTATATAGCATAATCTTCCTTCTGGCATATTTAAGTTTCACTTCGGTGTTAAGAACAGTTTTTTTTATCAGCATCGTTACCTGGTAGAAAGCACGTCGTTTGCTTAGTACATTCAACGAGATCTTTTCTTGAGACGCCGAAACACCGAAACAGTCATCAGAAGTAGTACGTTTATGACAAAATAAAATAAAATCGGTGTCAAAAGGCATCCTTGATAGACTCCACTAGTTGTTACTACTTCAGATGACAACTTTCCCTAAGTTCTGGAATGGAATGTCCGCGAATATGATGAGGAGTGAAAGCTGCTTGTGAGCCATAATAGGAAGTTATCAGCACTAGGGCATACTTGTCAACCACTTAGACCTATTGAATAAGTTAGTTCTTAAAGAGTTGTTGACGTGTATTAAAATGGGCCTATTGAAGATGCTAGTGCTTCAGTGGCACGGTGGTAAAATGCTCGCCAACCACGCATGTGGTTCGGACTTCGATCGCCGGCGGTCTCATTTCTTTACCTCGCTAAGCTAGTAATAAGACTGGTAAAAAGGGAAGGTTGGGCATAAGACTGGCAACCTTATCCCATTAAAATAAATAATAATAATATCGAAGACGCTTGAAACATGAATCGAAACTATGTAAAATAGTGATGATGACGATACGGTGAATTCTAGAAATTTTCTGACGATGCTAGTTAAAATGTCTATTTTTTGTGGCTACAATGTGTTACTTGAAGAGAATGTATGATAACCAACCGCTAATCTCATTCTATATTTGACTTTTCCTACCTTCCATACACTCCTCTCTGTTACTCATTGTTCTTCTGAAGTATGTGTCCTGTCGAACTCCTACCTTGCTTTTACTGTACTCAGGTCAATGGGAACACGTATTTTATTTTGTTTCGGTTAAAAGATATTTCTACTAGAGTATTAGTTGTGAATCTCTATACCTTTATTCGTCTATATGTAGAGTTGTTGTTGTGTAGAATTAGCATTTATGTATCTTTTTTGGACATGTATGTGCGTGGAATGAGCACTTTTTTTGAATGTTTTTTCTCTTGTTCTACTCCTCATTATTAGGCAATCAGAGTCAGTCCTTTGTTAGACGTCGATGTACCGAATGCTCGAGTTCGGTGTAAAAATAATCCATCAATATGGCCAATTCCTTCTGTTTCGCATGATAAATTTCGACAAGATGCTAAAAACACTACAGGTAGTTTAAATCCAGATGCTCCTGAATTTATTCCATCTCAAACAATGGTCAACTCAAATCAATCAGGTGAGAATTGACACTTTTTTCTGATTTGTTCAAAATATTGCTATTCTATTTTGTGTCAAGTTAATCAATCGCCGATTAAGCTTTCATAATTCATGGTTACATGTGATCTTAAAGTCGATTTTTCTTTCCGTTAATTATCGAAAACCAACCAGATGGAGACATATTCCGTTGTACCGCATGCCTTTTCGTTTGTTTGTTTGTTTGACTTGTGTACCTTGTGATCAGCCTTTATCAGATAAGGAGGGAGTGCCTGATAAACACACACACACACACAGAAAGCGAAAATTGATTAACACCCGAGACATGAACTACGATATTGATTGAGTGAGTACCATGTCAATACATTGCTTCTTGTGTACTTTTACTCTATAGGTTGAAGGGCTAGTCATGTCAAATGGAGAAATGTACACAATTTGATGTGTTCCTGAGGTAATTTTAAGGTGATTTTGTTTGATGGATTCTCAGTCTTTGGATGGAAACAACGAGATTCAACTCGTCTTTGTCATGCCATCGTCATTCCTGCGAACTGTGAAGTGTTCAGATGACAATCTCTAACCAGTGCGATATGGAGACTAGCGTCAAGCAAAGTGAACATAAAAGCTGCAAGATCTGTGCTTTAAAAAAAGTTTATATCAAGTTTGTTCTCCTGCATTGTTCAGAGAATCGGCGCACGCATCTTCAAACGTATTTCCAAGGGGTTACTGCAGACTTTCACCAATCGCTGCTTCTGGTCGATTTACTGAAGATTAGACGGCTGATCAGAAAAGATAAGCAGTAAGAAACTCTGTCAACGACCAGGCCAAGGCACCTATTAACCAACAGCCAAAGGGATCCGAAAAGCTGCACGATTAATGCTACTGGCTATAATTTGTTGCTCTTTAAAACTAACCCTTTTGTAGCGACCATTTCACTAACTGTAAAAGAAACCTACTCGCAGCGCGTACCTGATTAGGTTCACTTAGGAGTTGAGTCACTTTTCACTGTCTATATAAGAGTTGTAACGTAAGCTGAGGAAATTCTGAGGAGAAAGAGAGTAGCGACTTACCTTTCTTAATCTTAGAGTTGGATTTGCTATTTATTTAGCTGACGGAAGTGGATGATTTTTGTATAGCTTTGTTGATATTTTCAGTGGTGAGTGTTTTGAAGAGGGTACCATGTTAGATTGATTTGTGTGTCTATATATCGTAACAGACTTATATGCTACATGTAGAGTACTGTACAAGTATGCGTGTAATATGGAAGGCTTTGTGTGCTTATGAAAGTGTGTAATTTCTCCTTGAGGTAGTACCTGAAACAGAAGGGGCATTAGTGTTGTGTGACAACTGCTTAAGACCGACCATACACAGCCTGTTCGAAGTAGTTTTTGGAGCTTAGAGACTTTACTCCTATCTATGGGTTGCTGCAAGGTAAGTGGGGATGTACAGTTTTCGCGATCGATCCTTTCTGGCCTCTCATCTGTAGAGTAGAGGTAGCATAGATGGCTTTTTGGTTGTGTAGGGGGAAACACCTTACTGCCGTTACACTCCTATCCTCCGACAGTTTGACTTCGTCATCACCCCTGACATAGTGTGGACAACTTACACTGTGATAGTAACAGTTTATAGTGTGACCGCTATCCAAATGACCTTTCTGGTATGGTAGGACCTAAAAGAACCTCTGTTCCAGCCAGTGTAGTTCGTTAGGCCTTTGCAAGGCGGACCGCCACGTCACGGTAAGAGCAGCCAACGGTTGCTAAATTTTATTCAGTATGAGTGGAGTCAATTTTCACTTCTGTACATGTATTGTGGCGTATTTTCTGATACCATGTTGTGTGTCGATTGTTAAATTGCGACAAATCATTATTGGCTAGTACAGGCTGTGGTTCTTGTATAGTGCTTTCTTATCTGAACCATGATTTGTCTCTTACGTTTGGTGACCCCTAGTGGTTTATGCTTTGGCCTTCGAAATGATGAGGGTAGGGTTTGACTCTCAAATACTGGAGACCAGGGTACATCAGGATGATAACTCTTAAATGGAATAAAATCGTTCGTCTTGGATTCCACTGAGAATCACTACCAATCCGTTAACACACATTGGAAGTGTTCTCACCTCTAATGCAAGTTTCGAAGTGCTGATTGCGTAATTGTAATTTCAAATAATAACAGATTCTGTCTACAGAACTTAGATGGTCCTCCCAACCTTTGATTCAAATCCGAGCTGATGTAAGCATTGCCCCATCACTATCTAGGCACACATTTATTGGAGATTTTGTGTATTAAGATTACAAAATAAATTCCCTTTCCATTTATTCCATTACACCCTAAGCTTTCTTTTATTTTATCTCTAGAACCTGTAAAAACTTCAGATGAAACAACACCTACCACATCAGCTCAAGAAGATTTGAATTTTTGTTTTTCAAGTGAATGTCGTAACAAATCATCATCGTATTCTACTTCTTCACCGGCAAAACACACTCGATCAAGTTTTTCTGAATGTGAAAAGTATCCGCCAACTACTCATGTAAGCTTCAAATTGTGATGAGTTTAACTGACGTTGTAGTTGAGCAATTTTTCCGATATTTTTCGTTTCATCAATGTTTTTGTGTAATTTTCACTGAAATTATTGAATTCAGTTACCCAGAATGGAGGTGATTTATTTGCTAGGCCAAAAGCCATACACATTGTATGAAGGCTGATGATACTGGTCAAGTTACCCAAGCTTGAAGTACGTGGGGTTTGATTCACAACTATGACCTATGAAGGTTGAAAACCGGGTCTCACAGTCTATAAACTTCAAAGTTCATTACATTTGTTTACCTTGATCTCTGTTGTTCAAGAGGTATTCAAATAAAACTTAAATTATATAACTGAAAAAAACTCCCATTCTCACCAAGCTTCTACGGTCTTATAAGTGGACATAAACATATGTAGGACTTAGTATTATTTGTCGTTTATATTGTGAGCAGCAAAGATAATTTTGTCTTCAAGTGTTGTTGTTGGTTTGCAGAAATTCGATTGGTTTTTCACTCAGATCATGAACTGACTTCAGTTAGATGACCATTGAAGATCAGGATTTATCGGTCAGATGTTTCGTCAGGAGTTCACGTCCATGACCCCACCTGTAATCGAGCGCAAGACTTTCAGACAACAAGATGAATCTGTTCTGTTCAACCGCTAGGACGGACTCCAGTGAGCTATGAATTCTAATTCCTACTGATTCATGATCTGCAGCACAACCGACTGGTAATGCCATCTAATGCTCGTCAGGGATTGACTGCAGTTCTAGTGAGAATTTGTGATCAGTGCAGCTCGCCAGGATGAGTGTGAGAGAACAAATACCCGCCGGTGACATTAGCTAGTACTTGACATAATATTGTTACTAAATATCTTAACGTGAAATGGAAAGTTGAACTAAATGACGAACATCTGAAAGTAGTGTCTATAGTTACCCTTTGTGATAAGTTAAAAATTTGGAGTGTAAACAGTTTATTATCTGAATTTCACTGCCTTCACGCGACTGTAGGTATTCCTGAAAAATAGTGAGAGGGCTAGTGCAAACGTTTGGCACTTCCAACCGAACTGATGGATATACAGATTTACCTCGGCGAGCAGGAAAACCCTGATTCGTAATGTGATGTATGTGGGTTTCAGAATCCGAGAGGGTAGAATGTGTCGTGTTTCGGTCACCGGAAACGACGGGAATGCAGCTCCTGATGCCGCTGCACTGCTTTGTTTATCAAACTTCAAGTCAGAGGCGCAGAAGGTGGACTCTTAAGGCAACTACCTGCTTTAGTTTGATCATGCGGGCAGTAACCCTGTCCTCTCATCAACTATGAGAGACATCCCCTGGTGCCCATAATGTACCAAGTTTGTCTTGATGATAATAAGTAAACGTAAGTCATTTCTTCTATATGGCTCAGAGGCGTGACATGCGCATCACGAAAATCACTTCCAACAGGATAACGCAGACTTCTGTTGACAGTTGTCTTCGCTGGCGGCTACCATACTGGTTGACCCGAAAGGATTATCAACAGGAAACTCTGGGATCAAACCAACCAAGAGCCTATTGCTCAACAAATATGTAGAAGAGAATGGAGATGGATTGAACACACTCTGAAGTGACCGTCGAATGGCATTGCACGCCAGGCCATCGCTCGAGTGGAACCCGGATGGAAAACGATGAGTTGGGCATGAGCGTGAGGGTGAAATGGAGGAGATGAGAGATTATGGGCAGTCGCGGATCCAGCTAAAGAAGACTGCAGAAAATAGAACAAAGTGGAGACATGCTGTTGAGGTCCAAGGTTCCACTCGGAACCCAAAGGTCCAATAATATAATATGGTTTTAAGCCAGTGTTGTATTTTTAGTTTTCAGCTTTTAAAAAATCTAAAATATTAAAGTAATAATGAGTTGGTTCATCAGCTCTTATCCTCTCTCCCGATTGGATAACTCAAATTTTTACCTGCACCCTTTTTAGTGTCGAACAAGGACATCGTCTACTAACTCGGAGGATGATTTGGACGATGCTATGCTCTCTTGTTTGATGGTGATTGCTCCGAATACATCGCATGACCTAATGATTAGCTCTGATAATTTGGATGAAGACTCAAGGAAAGAAAGTTCAGAGCCTTCACAGGCCACTAAGGTTGTAAGCGAGTAAGTCGACTGACTGACTGTCTGCTTTGCGGATGATTCAGATTTTCACTTATTTTTATTCTTTTTAACGGTTTTAATCACTCATTTGTTCGCTGAGAAATGACTAAGTTGTAGTTCTGAGAGGTGTGAAGAGACTATCGATTTTAGTCTCCCGTAAAATGTTATCCTAGTTTCATCGTCCACCTCCCCCCTGTGCATTTTTTTCTCAAACAAGTGTCCACTTCAGGTGGTAACATTTTACAGTGGGAATAGACTGAGCATAGCAATGCCTTCGTGGTCACAGCCCCCTCCACTGGCGAAGAATTACACTGCCATCGACTGACTTTCCTATTTTTTCTAAAACTGTTCACGAGGTCTGTACATTTAACCAGTTTTTATCTTTATTAACAAGCGTGAAAAATGTATATTTGTAGTAGGTAGCAGTTGTTGATATTCAGCAAAGCTTTGTGTGTTTGTGGAAGTTTCTAGGGGTGGCCATTACTTCCTGGCTGCCGAAACCATGGAAGTTGATTTTTTCTTAGGGTACTTGAAACAGATGGAGCATATTAGTGTGTTGCGTCACCGCTACAGGAGGGACAACTGCTTGAGGTCGGGCACACATACGGCTTGTTTAAAGCGGTGTCTGTATTTAGATCTTTTATCACTGGCTATATGGACCACCGCAAGGTAAGTCAAATACCAGATGCTTCTGTGGTTCTTTTGTGTTCTCAGTGGAACATAGGGATTCGGTAGCGGTGGTGTTTATTTTTTACGGGATGGGATTGCCAGCCCCAAGCCCAACCTTCCCTCTTTGTCTGCCTTACAACCGGCTAGGAGAGGTAAAGGTGTTCACCGGTCGGGAATCGAACCCCGTACCACATGCATTGTTGGCGAGCATTCTACCGCTGAACCACAGACGCACCAAAACAGTTAAAGCCGCGTGGCCACGAGAGCCCAAATACTAGATAATGGCGTAGATACATCAAGTAATAGCTCATAACGGTTTATAATAACTCTGTCGTTCAACTCTATAGTCTTCAATGAGATACTGCAACTGATAAACATTCCACTGACTGCTGCACATTCTGTTGGACTGACTGACTGACTGGTTTCAGCGTAGAAATTTGCACAGATGTGCACCATTTCGAGTCTCCACACTTCACTCAGCAAACAAAGCAAGAGAAGAAAGTAAAAAATAATGCAAAATAGAGACAGTAAACAGAGATATGAGGCAAAAAGAACGGTAATATCGAAGAACAATATAGTTTCATTGGAAATTATAAGTCACAAGGAGTGGATGCATCTGCACTAGCCATTGAGAACGATTTTGAGTCATATCACCAATTGTCTACAGTCATTGGTGTTTAGCGTCCCGAGGACCTCAACCAATCAGGAAGTGTACACCTTCCTACGTGGCTTAAACTGACTTGTGGATTTCATTGACTGCTGAAGCCATGCTTTGGTTTGACCACCGTTAGCTCTTTTCCAACCTGATCCATCCTACGCCAGCTAACACTGCCGGCCGAGGAAGGCAATGGATAGGCATGAGTAACACATGTCCTGTTTGTCTCAGTCAATGTAGCCTCACATAGTTAATTTTCCCTGACCTCAATATTACTCACCCTATTATCCCACCTGAAATTGTCAAGCATAACCTGTGCTGTCATCTCGTTCCAGTCAAGTGCGACCAGATGACAAATAGTTAACAAATTGTTTCTGCGGAACACTCTAGCAATCAGTCGGTTAAATTGCTTTGGTCATTTTTCTACTAGAATAAATATGTATACTTTGATTAGACATTTCATGCCTAAGTTATCTAAACACTTAAAGGTCCAGCGTGTGTAGTGTAGGGAAAAATTTCAAGTAACTATGTGCGTCAGTGGCACAACGGTTAGGACGCTCGCCAACCATGCACTTGGTCCAGGGTTCGATCCCCGGCCGACACACGCCTTTACTTTGCCAAGCCAGAAATAAAGCTGGTAAAGAGTAAATGTTGGGCATGAGGCTAGCAACCCCATCCTGTAAACATAAACACCACTGCTACCGAAACTTCAAGCCTCTAACTTGAAGTCCTATGTTCCATAGGGCTTCCACTGGGAACGTGAAGGAATAAAAAAATGTGTATCCTATACAATAAGCTCAAAATGGGTTGTTGAGCTGTAGCTCATTGGTCTAAGGTTTCAGATCGAAATCCCGCTTAACTCAATGGGGTTTGGGCAACCGCGTAGCATCACTAGCCAGTCGTCATAAAATAGATGTTGCTCACTGCCGTCAACTCTTTGGGAATGTAAGTGCTTGATTGTCGAGTATCATAACTTCAGAGGCAGAATCAGTTGAAGATACGATGAATTTATGACGACAGATAGAGAAAGTGGAAGAAAGCAGGTTATGATGGCTGGTGATATCAGAAAGGTGTGAAGGTCGCTCACACTCGAATTAGTTGATATTTCTCTTTGAAAAAGTGATTAGAATGTTTTTATACAGCCGTTATCATTACGTCGCGCCATAACGAATGTAGTTGTTGGTTGAAATATTTTTGATTTGGGATTAAGTTGTGTTGAATTGAATCATACGCTTTGGGATAACGAGAAAGTATGGTAGACATATGTCCAGAGGCAATAACAGTATGTTGGACCAATACAACGATTAGTACTGCATTGGAGACTTTTGTATGTACAGAGGTATCTGGTATAATTCACTAACATTAAGGCGTTTAATTGTGACAGTTCGATTTCTTTCTTTGTTTTTTCTTCTATCGTGGCAGTTCAACAGGTACTGATAGTTCCGTGGAGAAAAGCATTGAAACTCTCATTGATGATCTGTGCAAAGCGATTGAAGAATCTCAAGTTCATTCTGAATCTAATTTAACGGTATGTTTTGTCAACAGTGAAATGTGTTCATTTAAATAATTGTATCTTGCATATATTCTATCCTCTTATATTCACTAGAGAATCTACTCTACTTTATAAATTTACGTTCAAGGTTGATATAGAGAAAGGGTTTTCTTTTAATCGATTACGTTCCGAATGGAACATACGGCTAATAAGCTTTTAAGTTTCAGTAGCGCGGGGAAGAGTTGCTGGCGTCACGCTCAACCTTACTACTACCGCCTGCACTGATGTCCTGCAGTTCGAGTTGCCACACTCCATGTAGCATAAAAAACATGTGGAGAGAGAGTAAAGCGAAATTCAAAACAGAGATAATGAGCAGAAATTTAAGGCAAAAAGAATAAAAATATGGAAGAACAATAGAGTTTAATTGGATATGATAAATCACAAAGAATGAATGCATCTCCCCACCCCCAATGTCTCCAGCCTTCATTGGTTCTTACCATTCCGAGGGCCCCATTTAGTCAGGAAGCCAGTCTACACCCCCCTACTTGACTGGTTAACTGTAACTGTTGTGGATTTCATTGATTGATGAAGCTATGTTTTGGTTTGAAACACCGCTGACTGCCGTCTAGTCGAGTGCGCTGGTTGAGAATCGAATTCACACCTTCCACCTGCCTATGTGGTAGTATTCTGTTACTGAACCGAACCATCGACGTCTGCCTTCATATTCAACTACATGTTTTGAATGTCTTACCATTTTCTAACTGTTCATTTAAATCTCTTTTTTGTTTGTTTTCTCTATCCTCACACAAACACACACACACACACACACTTACAGGAACCCAGTGTAGCAATGAAATCCAATAAAGAAGCAGCAATAACTAGTAGTAGTGAGGCTACAACTGTCCCATGTACAGATGGCGTAGTAGCAGTACCATCTACTACAACTATTGTATCTATTGTTGACACTTCAACTATTATCACATGTACTGCTGCTAACACTTCTCTTGTACAGTTCAATACATCTATATCTTCTGATATCTCTGTTGTCCATCCTACTATTTCAATGCCAACAGCCACCCCTCTTTTGTATACAGGTAATTGGTTGTTGTTGTTGTTTTTTTAATTGTTAAACATGGATTGTCGATATTCACTTTGTTTACTTTGTTAGTTCACAATTATGTTACATTTGTAAATGCAAACACTACTGCCACAGTAAGGAAAAGGTTGTTTCCTGGTCGTGTTTGGTAGCTGCTCATCACCTTTTAATCTCTGCATCTTATGTGAGTACATTTCGCTTCATATGTATGTTTTGGGTTTGAAACCAAACTGATAAAAGATGCAACGAAAAAGGCAACTTCAGGTGAATATTACAGAAGACGACAGTGGTGATGAAGATTATACTCTGACTAATAACAAACACCTATCACCATAAATGAGTGTGTCGGTGGCACAGCGGTAGGAATACTCACCAATCACGCATGCGGCTCGGGGTACGATCCCCGGCCGAAACACTCCTTTACCTCCCTAAGCCAGTAATAAGACTGGTAAAGAGGAAAGGTCGGGTATGGGACTGACAACTGCATCCCATAAAAAAAATAAACACCACTCCTACCATAACTTCAAGTCTGTAGCTTGAAGCTCTATGTTCCACTGGGGACACAAATGAATAAAAAAATCACAAAGAATAGAGTGAATGTACAAGGATGTTAAGGATGTCCAGGTCATCCACGATCGGGAGAACAAGACAGGCGTTAATTACTTCGAAATCAGTGTGGAGCCTGCAGCACACCTAGCACAAGGAACAACATCCGACCTGTTAACACTAATACCAAATTCACTGCTTGTACCATAACTCACAGATGCGGCATGCGCATTAGCATAGGCATTTTCACCAGTCTGTTGTAGACTACTTCCATAAGCAACCAGCCTCCGGCGAAAAAGATGCCAAGGAGGTCTGGCAGCGAACTGGCTAAGAAATATGTTATCCGACATATATTCAGAAGGGAATGAAGATGGATTAGACATAGACTATGGGAGATCGTTGAGCAACATCACACGTCAGACCCTCTAGTGGAAGCAGTGAGGTAGACAACAGGTCCGAGTTTGATATAGAGAAGATCATGTTAGTAGAAAACATGAGCTTGTTGGCAGTCGTGTGTGTAGCTAGCAGAAAGTAATAGCAGAGAATCAAGTTCGATGTGGATGGTCCATAGAGGCCTTGTGTTCAACTAAGTGCACAAAGAATAAATTAAAATAGTATTTGGGTAAGACTGAGCAGCAGTGTCACAATGATCAAGGTGATTTACTCTTAACTGATGGATCAAGAGCTTCAACCTCATCTCACCTATCAAGATTCATTCAGACACTGTCATGACTTTATTACGTAGTGATGACCAAAAGTTGCCAACTGGACAGGCGACTTGGTACTGTCGATGGTTGATAGGCTTCCGTAATCCTCTGGAAATTCTCTCACGTGGTCACGCGTTCATAGCGTCTGCCATGTAACGCCTATTCACTGCCTTCAAGCAACTGGGGTGTTACAAAAGTGAAAGGGTGAATGTGAACATCTGGCACTTACAACGCGACTGGTGGACATTGTTGGTGTCTACGTAGGAGAACTGGTAAACCTTGATTCCAAACCATATGGTGCACATGTGCTCCAAAATCTCTAAGGATTGAGTGGCATATACACCTGTTTTGGTCATTGGCAACCATGACAACACAGCCCCTGACTCTGTTCCACTGCTTCGTGCATCAGAGTAGGTCAACGGCTCGGTTCGGTGGGAGGGGAGGGCTTTCAGACAATCACCTGCTTTGGTCTTGGCCACCCTGCCAGTATTCCAGCCCTCTTACAGACTTTGAGATTCCGCGTAGCGCGTAGCGCGTCTTTTAGTGCACATAATGTAACAGATTTGTGTTTTAATTATAATTGACCATGTAGGTTATTTCCAAAATTCAAGTCAGTCTGTTGCTCATCGTCCAGTGCATAAATTTACACCTGATTCCTTGGTTTCTTTTCGTGAACTATCATTTAGTAGGTAGTTGTCAACACTTTCTGAAGTGTTGAAGCAACTAAATCCCCTCAGATTCGTCCATATGACGTACGTAATTCATTGAATCTCACTATTTTAGTCTAACGCTAGCACTATCGGATGAAATGCATCAGGTACTTACCACATTGTCTGGTTTTTATATACATACAAAATTTACTCGTTCTTATCTCGTCGTATATAAGTAAAATTTATTGTCAACTCACTTATACTTGGTTTTATTTTCATGAGTTTCAGTATGCCCTGCTAATAATTCCCTTGTAGAGGTTTACAGAATGAGATATTTAACCTAGGCACAAGTATATACGGATTTGTTTGTGTTTTTGTGTGTTGTTGTTGTTTTGTAATTTAGAATCCTGTTTCCCATACGGTCATCCTTCGCTTCCCGGGCCATTGTCATATACAATAATACCTACAGCTTCTGCAATACACACGCCTGCAGGTTATATCTTACCAGCTCTTAATCGTGCTCCATTTTTAACTTCTTCTACACCAGTGTACTACATTCCTCAAATGAATCCAATCCCATTGATATCTCCGATTAACGGTACATTTCCTCATATTCCACAACCCTTGATGAATTCATCATCAATACCATCCTGTGTAAATTCTGATCAAAACCACCATCCTTCAATCACTGGCACGAAACGTGATTTGAAAGGTCGTACTATTGGATTTTTCCCTGTTTCCAGTGATTTTGATACGCAAAATGCAGATTTCAGTAGTGATGCAGTAAGTGTTTTTTCTCTCTCTATAACGTTGTGAATCAAATATCACTGTGAAGTAACTTCTCTTTTGTGTTAAGATTCGCGAGTCTTCATATTTCGTCGATATCACGCATTCGTTTTTCATTTTTATACAGCTACAGTTTCCGTTAGGCTTTTGTAACAATTTTTGATTGTTCTCAGCTGTTGGTTTACAGGGATTTGATTGTTTACAAGTCTGGTCAGTTAAAGAAACCAGCTGTTTCATTCCAGTCTGGGACTCTTCAATGGTATACACCCACCGGCATTCGAAACCAGGACCCTCCGGTTGCAAGGTGGACTATTCAGCCACTAGAAACCGATCTAATGGCCCCCGAATTCAAACTTCTACCAGTTGGCGATATATACAGAGTAGCCGTCAGCCAATGTCAACCGCAACTTGGTTGACTCCGCTTGTCACGAAATTTTGTGTTTCTTAAATTGCTACGATGCTGCAAAGTGACATATGCGTTGAAGTCATTTTCTTTTCGATTGAGGAAGAAAGATCAGATTTGCCGTTCATTCTGTTTCACAGTTGGGCGGGTGTACTGCTCAGCAGTCTGCTCCGTCCTCCTTTATGGCTGCGAGACCTGGCCATGGAGAGTGAAAGGCATGAAAAGGCTAGCTGTCTTTAATCATGGGTGCCTGTGTTCTATCTCCCGCTTGAAGTGGTATAATAAGGTGAGCAATATTGAGGTGGGGAGTCGGTCGAGTGCTAGGTAAGGAGGGGAAATCAATCGACGAGGCTGTGAAGCTGCATCGACTGAGATGGTTGGGACATGTGCTACGTATGCCTAGTCATCGCTATCCTCGACGGGCAATGTTAGCTGACATAGGGTCAGGTTAGAAAAGAGTCAACGATGGTCAGACCAAAACATGGCACCAGTCAATGAAATCCACAACAGTTAGTTTAAGACAGCCACGTAGTAAGGTGTAGACTTCCTGACTGGTTGGGGTCCTCGGGACGGTAAAAACCAATGGTTGGAAACAATTGGTGATATGGCTCAAAATCGTTTTCAGTGACAGCGCAGATGCATTCACTTCTTGTGACTAATGATTTCCAATGAATTTATTTTGTTCTCTGATATTACTATTCCTATGTCTCACACCTCTGTTTACTGACTATATTATGCATTTCCTCTACTTTCTTCTCTTTCTTTGCGTCCTACATGGAGTGTGGCGACTTGAACTGCCGCACATATGTGCAAAGTTCTATGTCGAATACAGAGAGACTTTATTATGGACAGTATAACCAGTTGTGACTCGCTTAGTAGGTGAATTTGCTTTAATTCATTCATTTCACACTATAGAATGTCTGGAGTTCTATTACTGTATTAGTCTAAGCACTCAACCTCTAACTACTGGGCCACGAGTTCAAGAAAACCCACTTCACTTGTCAAGGTTTCTGCCGCCAGTTAGTATCACCAGCCTTCATGTAATAAGTGTGACTGATTACTAACTGCTGGAAAGTTGGGGAATGAGTTACTATGATTTATCCTGGTTTATTTTGTTTGATATGATGTGAAGAACCAGTTTCTCTATTTAGACGTAAGAATGGTATCTTCACAACTATTTTATTCTCCCCACCCGCTACCTCTGAGCATATAATCTTCCCCTCTTAACATTGGGGCATAATGCAGAAGTGAATTTATCCGTAAATTTTTCCGATTTCCCTCGTTTCTTAAACTGTATTCCCTTACGTTCCAAATGGAATACACAGGGCTTCGAGCTAGAACTTCAAAGTTTCGGTAACGGTGGTTGCTAACTCCACGCCCAGTCAACCCTCTTTACCAGTCAGTCTTGCTACCGTCTTAATGAGGTTTGGGACTACGTCGATTGGGAATCAAACCCCGGATTACATGCGTGGTTAGCGAACGTTCTACCTCTGAACCACCGACGCCTAATTTCCCTCGTAATTCTGTGCATTTCGCTAGTCACTTCATCGATCAATTCATGGTATGCAAAAAGGCTAAAGTTGTCGACATATGTATATTGTGTTCAGTACGTAATTAAATCTTATTATTGTTACTCTCTACCATTTTAGTATAATATGCAAAGTTCAGAAAGTCATGAAAACAAATCGTCATCATCATCCAGTAAGGGTAAGCACGTTGGCTTCCTTCTACATCCTGTATCTGCTGCTCGTTCACAACTGCAAACCAATTGGAGGTAAATTTCAGTGCAGTAATTTTCTAAATTTTAACTATTTTTTTGGAAAATCTTCAAGCACTACTCACATGGGTTGAAATTTTATGTATATTGCATAACTGTGTGATAACATCGATTTCTTACCTCGGATTATTGTTATTTTTTGTAACACGGAAACCCTTCCAAGCATTTGACTTCTAGCTAATGAGGCCAGTTATGGTATCTCACTTTCTCCTTAATTCACTTTTGACAACTGCGAAGTATCACCACCCGTCATACAACATGTGGCTCATAGCCTGATACCGAGTAACTGATTTCCAATATTCGTTTGTTACGGTGTTGGCAAAATGGAGGAAGTCACTGTCGAAAATCGGAGGTGGTTCTCCAGTCATGCCGGTAGAACAGGGATATTCATCGCTAAGTTTCACTTTTTTAGACATCTTATTATACTGGCAACTTCTTTTATGCCATACAAATATGTACAAGGATATAAAGTGACTGAGATATCATCTCAGCTACTGAAAGAGGAGGAGTGGCTGATGACTTGCTAATTTATTGCTTCTTTAAAAATTCTTCAAGCTACCGACTAAAATCGTATTCACAACACATTTGATACGTTGTCTGTCGTCGACCTTCGATCAATGGTGTTGTGAAGCTGCATCGATTGAAATGGCTAAGACATGCGTTACTCGCACCGCCTTCCTCGACAACTGATGTCAACTGGCTGACATAGGATGCGGCTGAAAAAGAGTTAGAGGCCGTCACACGAAAACATGTTACCAGTCCATTGAGTTCTTTGAATAACCTTGAAATGTGTAGACTGCCTAGTTGGAGACTATAGGTGACATAGTTCAAAATTGTTCTAAACAAACGCCCAAGCGCGTTTGCTTACAGTGATGACCTCCCAGGTCTAGTAAGTTCTCATTATTCCCCAGGGAAATCCCTGTTTATTATGGTTCATATTTTCGCTTCCTGTGTGTATGCTTTATGAAGTCTGGCATATTGAACTGGTGAGTTTCTGCAAAATTCTACTGTGGGAGTGCAATTCAGTTTCGCCACTGAACCCATATTCATCATTTCGAGAAGACATGCTTCTCAGTTTTTCAAACACTTATCAAATCTGTTTACTGCCGTTTTTTAATGTTTTTCTCCTTTCTGTCATCAATACAAATTTCATCCATATTCCTTTTTATCTCTCTCTCACTACTATTCACAGCGATGCCTCTCCCACTACAACACATCAGCCAAGTCATTTGTTGCAACAAAAAGGCTTCACATTTCATGCCTACAATCAATTCCGTTCTAAATGTCTCAGGGATAGAGAAGCAAAGGGTAAAGGTCAATCACAGGTAATTTCACTAGCTAAAATGTCGTTTTCTTTCTCGTTGCATTTTTATCTCCTTTCTTCGTTTTTTTGCCAGTATGGAGGGATGCCTGTTTAAATATAAATCTTTCGAAAATTTTGGACATGTGGGGCTAGGCAGCTGTGAATAAGTACTCAAATATATGAAGTCGCTGTACTGCATAGTTTCAAAGGAGTGGAGAAATTGTTAGTTACCGATTTAATAGCCTTCTTTTTGTGCTACCTTCCTGGGAATTGCGATAATTTCATCAAAAGGTTTGTGTGGCTTTTGCCGCCCTACGTCATCTCTGGCGTAGATGTGATATCATCCGTCTGACTATCGATCAGAGGACATGTATGTACTGCTTAGCAGTTCACTCCGACCTCCTTTATGGTCGTGAGACATGAATGGCTATTTAAAGTGGAAGATATGAAAACGCTGTCCGTTTCTAGTCACAGATGTTTGCGTTCTATCTCCCTTGTTACATGAGTATTACTGAGGTTAGGCATTAAAGCGTCAAGTAAGGAGGGTAAGTCGATCGGTAAAGTTGGGAGCTACATCGATTCAGATGGCTAGATCAACGCGTCTTGTGCATAACGTGCCGTCGCCTTCCCCAGGGAGCAATGTTAACCAAGATGGGGGATTAGTTTGGAAGTGAGTGAGATCCTCGGGATGCTTAATACGAATGTTATTATTTTCTTTCTCTCTTGTGTCGACTTTTGTGTGTTACATGGAATGTTGCAACTTGAACTGCTGTACTTCTCTTCTAAGTTCCACGTTGAAACCCAATCAATCGATCATTTTACAAAATATCTGAATAATTAATCTGCTGAATTCACTTCCTTTTGATATATGCTTTCTGCTATGTTCATCTATTTAGGAAATGAATACGCTGTATAGTTTTTGGTCCTTCTTTTTACGAGAACACTTTAATCGATCAATGTATAAAGATTTTCGTAAACATGCATTGGATGATGCTAAAGATAATGCAAGATATGGGATAGAATGCTTATTTCGATTTTACAGTTATGGATTAGAACGTCATTTTCGTAAGGCAATTTTTAAAGATTTTCAGGTGAGTGAGTAACGAGTAAAACGGAGATTTTGCTGTTTCTTCGTTCTTTATTTTGATGTGTGCATGCATAGGCTTTTACGTGTAAATAGTGCTTTTTCCAGTTTATTATTATTATTCTCTTCGCTTCCGAGTGAAACACAGGACTTCAGCGGCACAATCCTGTATAGTTAGCTCTACTATTGATCTTAAGCTTCAGTCTCCTCCATGTCACCCTCGGATCAACGTATAACTCGTCCTTTTTATGCTGGTCCTGCTCGAGGAACCCCCCTGTGTGTGATGTTACTAAACTATGATCCCATCAGCGTATGTCTAGTTAATCTCCATTGTCCCCCTGCACATTTAACCACTAGTAGGTTCTTGTTCGGTTGACTGCGTACCAGAGTTGCTTCCCTATCCAATTTTTAACCACTCGTCTGATCTTCAAATATGTGAGACGAACGCAAGTGTTGTGGTGAAAGTCTTCAGCCTGCTGTTAAAAATGTTTTTCGTGACGGCGAAATTTCTGAACCAGACTTGAAATTAAGGTTTGAGATTTGGATTTTGTTCTTTATAGTGTAAGTGCAGCAGTTTTCTACACTGATTTTAGATTAGTGAAGGCCTGTTGTGCTTTGGCTTCCTTTCTCATCTGTGCCGTGCTGCCTGTAGTTGAATCCATTTTTTTATTCGTTTACGTTCGCAGTGGAACATAAGACTTCAAGCCAGAGCTTTGAAGTTTCGGTAGCAGTGGTGTTTATTTTTTTCGCGGGATGGGGTTGCTAGCCTCACGCACAACCTTCCTTTTTTACCAGTTTTATTGCTGGCTTAGCAAGGTTTAGGAGTGCGTTGTCGACCGGGGATCAAACCCCGGGCCACATGAGGCGTGTTTGGCAAGCATTCTACCTCTGTGCCACGGATGCACCAAGTTGAAACGTTGCTTCGTAGATAAGTGAAGGAAGTGACCTCTTTCAAATTTCTCCCGTTGATAGTGACTGGTGCTGGTTGTTGTTGTTGGTTAGTTGTCTTCATCACCCCCGTCTTCTCCATAATCACTTAAAGTGCTGTTTCGATGTTGATTGCTTCTTCCGCCAACTTGTTGGTGTTTGCCTGTAGATCTTCGAGTCTGTGTGACATTAAACATGAACTACTCACTAAGTCCAGATGTTGTAGCGTCTTATTGTCGGTCTAATTGCGACAGCTCAGGTTTCACAGAATTCATGCTTCAAGATCACTTGTAAATTAGAGATTTAGTAGCAGAATTGTTTTAGGGGGTGTGAAGGCAGTCCTGACCACTTCAGCAGTTTTCTTTAGTTTCAGGCTCTTGCCTATTCACGTGAATGAATCGACTTGTTTCAAGCTTGATCGCCAATTGATATCAGTTAGAAAACTATTGAAAATAAGCGGGGGGAGTACTGGGTAGCTGTTTTGTTGTTATTTGAGATTCAGTGGCAGCACGCGCCCACTGCCAGGGTTTGAGCCTAGGACCTTCCAGTTACAAGTCAACCTCGTAGACCAATATGCCACTGGGACCTGACTCATTGGACAGCACATGAACTTCAACTTCTACCCATTCACGGCTTTAGCGCGACCACTAGCCGATGTCATCGTCGAGTCTTTGTTGTCACACTCGACCTGGTGGAGACCACTAGTTATAAATTCTCCTGGATTGGTAAAAGTTATGATTCGTGGGCCGTTGAGTTGTAACCGGAAGGTCCTGGGTTCTAAACCCAGTGGGTTCATACTGGTGACCAGTCTCAAACTAGGACGAAATGACTATCCAGTATTCTCTGATTTTCAATGGTTTTGTAACTGATATCAATTGGTGATCAAATCCCTGTAAACAAAATCTTGCAAATAAATTGAATTCAAATTTTGCACATGCTGCTAAAATATCCGTGATAGAGTGGAAATACTTTGTTATATGATCACTGTGTATGAATTCCTTCAGTAAGTTTGTTAGTAAACAACATACTATGAATGAGTAGTACGATAGTCTTGTTTTGCGGTGCGCATTACTAGGGGGAAAGTAACTCCATCAACTCATCCCAGAAATTATTAGTCATGTTGTTGTTGTTGTTGGTATGGTCGTATCGTTAGCCCTCACAAACGAAGTGTGACTCACGTTCTAGTACCTGAGAAGTCCGCTCTGAGTCATTGAATTCTGACTTAGGGATTGTTAGTGTTATCTTTTTTAGTTCCTAGAGCAACACGGCTTCAGCGTCACGTCTTTATTGCTTTTGGTTCTCCGCCAACATTTTCACCTGCCTTCACGTCTTTCCACATGTTTTCATTTCTTATCACCTCCTGCATGCTACCGTCGCACTGACGACCAACTCACCCCTTCCCGTTCGGGTTTCATCCGAGTGATGGCCTCTTGTGTGATGTCACTTGATAGTTTGTTTTCTCAGAGTATGGTCAGCCAATCCACCTCCATTTCTTCCTGCATATTTTTTGCACAATTGGTTCCTGATGGGTTGGGTTGATTCGTTCATTGCCAGAGATTTCTCACTATTCCTAATCTTTTCTGGCCGGCCATCTGATCTTGAGCGAAGACAGCTGTTGAAGGTGTGTAGTTTGTTCGAAGTACCTTTCGTGACGCGCTCTCCAAGTCTCTGATGCGTATAGTGAGTAGCACTGTCTTCACATTGGAGTTGAAAATCTGGATCTTATTTTCCACACCGAGGGCTGTTAACCTCCACACATACTTCAGAGAAATAAAAGCTTGCCTTGCTTTCCTGATCCTCGCTTTGATATCCTCATCAGTTCAGTCTGCCAGTAGTTGAAACAATGATTCCGAAGTCGGTACCAAGTCCTATGTTGAATCCAGACAGAAGTCGATAGGTGAATGAGGTTGTTTCTTTCAGATTTTTACCATTTATACTGATTGTTGTCTGTTGCTGTTGGCCAGGAATATTCATCACCTCTGTTTTCTCTATGTTCACCTGAGACTGCGACACGTCTATCGTCAGACGCCTCATTTAATGACAATAATTGTAGTGATATTGTTACAACACTGTGTTATCGTGTGAAACTAATCCATTCCTTTAGATATATCACGGCTTACTTGAGTCCCTACCACCTTAACTTTTCTTTATGAATTTATACATTTCTTCATTTTGTTTGTTTCTGATTGACAGGATGAAACACTCAGAGATTATGATGATGGTCATTTGTACGGATTAGAGAAACTTTGGGCTTTCTTACACTACAGCCAACGGAAAGTGAAACTGGAACCACGTTTACAAAATCTATTGGATTCAAAATATCGTACATTGCAAGATTTTCGTGTCAATGTAAGCCACATATACATTCATTATATATATATATATATATATATATATATATATATATATATATATATATAATTTTTTCAAGTATTGGTTTTTGTAGGGATTTTGTTTGATTCTGTGGATGATTTCATCATGAACTGACATCACTTAGAGAACCATTGGAAAACCAGCTAGTAGTACTGGATAGCTGTTTCGTCTTGGTTTGGGCTCTTCAGTAGTAGACACTCACCACCAGGTTTCGAACCCAAGACCTTATGGTTACAAGGCGAGCTCGTACACCATTAAGCCACTGGGACATGATCCAATGGGCAGTCCGTGAATTCCAACTTCTGCCAATTCACGACATAGCGCGACCACTCAGCAGTATCTTCGAGGAATTAGGGTTAGGTGAGGGATTGGGATTATAGCCAAGGTGTTGTATTTTTTCATTATCTGCATTTTTCTAGTAAATGGTTGCCAACCTTTTTACTGGGACCCATACTAATTTAATGGAAGGCTTTTGGGTCACAAAAAGAACTCATCTTCAGTCACCTCGATGAATACATCTACAGAAACTTGGTCTAACTTAGAAAAAAATGTTACTCCTGATTACATTTCAGAGAGACTTTTAAGTCTTGTCTGGGAAAAATATCTCGTTCAATGCATTTTGTCGTTATTTTGCATATATCTGATTGGTTGCACCAAGGTGAGTCATGTGTGTCGTCATTCCATGGGTCGTCATTATAATTTAATTTGTCTATTACCTTACCTCTCGAATGGTAATCAACTTTACCGGTTTTATAATTGGCATTCCTTTTCTTTTTTCCTCTTTACAGTTTGAACCACCGACTGGATTTTTTGTCAATAAATCATCACGTCGTCGTACAAAATCCGAGTCGACAGTCACTTATCAAACTAGACGACCAACAACACCAACACATTCGTTGGGCTGTAGCAACAATAACAGTAGATCGCCTCCGTGTGAATTTCAATCTAGTAGTAGTAGAAGACTGTTGTAATGAGATACAGCGATGGTGGTGATGACAATCAATGGACAATAATAATCTGCCTCATTCGTGTTCATTCAATAATTCATCAGTGTGTGCGTGCATGTGTGTGGTATCTCTCTGTCTCTGTTGCTCTCTTAGTCTGTGACAAATTCTCTTTGAATTGTCCCCTTTAACAGTGTATATTCCCCTTACATATATCTATCTATGTATGCCGTAGTATAACGATAATAATAATAATACTAATTGTCTCTCCGTGTCATGTTGAAAATGCGGTGGCCGCTTTTCTCTTAACAGACTGTTGTTGTCGTCATTGGTGACGGTGTACACACCAGAAATCGATCAATCAATCAGTCAGTCAGTCAGTCCATGCATCTTCAACTTGTTCAACAATTAAATTGGAGTCATATCTGTGTCCGGTGCTATCCTCAATATAATAATTACCATTATTATTATTATCATTATTAAGTATTAACTATTTTGTCTAGCTGTTACTATTACTATTATTATTATTATTATTATTATACACAAGGATGCTGTTATTTTCTCTATTCTGTAAATAATATCAACACCACCATATTGTCGTCAACTTTTTTCGCCTGTAACACTGTCACACTCACACACACACTCAGACATCTCACTTAATTTTCATTCATATTAATGAAACATAAACACGTTGTTTTATAATTAATTAATTGGATTTTTGTGTACGTATATGTATATGTATTAGTCCACTACTATATATGCGTGTAGTATTCCTGCGTGTGTGTGATTGAGTGAGTGAGTAAACCGACTCCTTTATTATTATTATTATTTCTAGCTTATTCAGTTCACTTATGCTCTTTTGCATAGACATTATTCTAAGCTTTATGACCATTACTATTATTATTACTATTACTATTTATTTGGGTAACAGGAGGTCAATTTAATTTGTCTTTTAGTTTCATATATTCATTTAAACTGATGATAATGATGGTGATTATTATTTAATCTCCTCGTTTTTCTATCTGTCTATCTCTATCCGCCCCGCCCCACCCTCTCTCTGCTTTCCGTGTGTCCTCTGGTTTCCCTGCATTGTAATCTGATTTTCCTTCTTCTGTAATTTCTCTGTAGTTTGTTTTTATTATTATCAAGTTTGGCCGACACTTGGAGAGAAGCATCGGGAAGAATAATGAGTAGGGTGAAATGAGGGGAGTTGGGAGAATCAATTCACTTATTTCGATCGATCCATCCATCCACGTCTGTTTGCCTAGTTATATAATTTCCCACTTCAACTTCCTCAACACGTATTTTTATTTGATTTGATTGATTTGTTCGACCCCCACCCACTCACCTTCTCGTGGGCGATATTGGGTAGGGGAGGGAAGGGGAGTAGAGTGCAGGATTGAAATTTCAACATGACGTTTTTGGTGTTTAGTGGTTTATCATCCCTCTTATTTGTTATCTATTCACAACACTATATTACTACTATTACTGCTAATGTTTATTGTGGTTCTTTTCGCTGGTGTCGGCGGCCCCCTCCTCCTGCGGAAACCCTGGTTCGAGGGGGGGTAGGTGTGTGTGTGTGCGTGTGTGTTAAATGTAGTTTTAGAGTATATTTACGCACTATTTTTCTTTAACCCTTTGGATCAAAATCTTACGTCCCTTTAATTCTTTTCAGTCATAATAATTATTATTATTACTATTATTATTATAATTACTATTATTATAGCCATTTGTGCCATTTCACTTTGTGTGTTAATCTTGTATTCTGTTTTGTGTGCGCGCGCTAAAGTATGGGGAGGAGGTTGCGTCTTCAGTTCTAGTGGTTGTCCCCTTTAGTAATCGAACACTGAGTCAGTCAGTCAGTCGTGTTAATAATCAATAAATAGGGCATCTCACACTTTAGATTTACTGTGTCTTTGAAGGAAGACGTCTGTTTAATCGAAGCGTGAATAATCAGAAGACAATTAGAGATTGTATGCAGTCATTATCCAGGAATGCTTTTCCGGTGTACGAGAAAATGATACGCTTCTTGATTAGTTATCAATAGCTGCCGGTATGTAGTTTGGTTTGAACGACGTGAGTAAGAATTCCCTCACCATCATAATGTTTGAAAATTATGAGGCCGAGCCGTCAAAGACATCAAACTGTTGAGTAGTAGTCTTCTTTGGTGTGGGTTCGAATCCCACCTTTGACACATGCTTGTGTACCAGTGGTTCTAGGGGTAGAGTACTCACCAGCGATGCATAGATTCGGGTTCGATTCCCGGTGTACACACGCCTAAACCTCGTCTTGTTGTTTACTAACTGATAATAAGCGTGGAAAAGAAGAAATAGTGGGCGTGGGGTCAGCAACCTCACCCCCGTAGAAACAATCTCTCCACCACAGGAACTTCAAAACTTAAAGCTCGACAACACACTAAGAAGACGTAGTTTATCTGAAACGTGAAGTGTGTTTGCGCAACACATTTCGGACATTCTGATCACACACGTACTTGTCATACACAATTTTATAGAAGGCATGAATTAATACAACACTGTTCAGATGGTGTAAAGGTCAAGGTCACATATAATGGATAGTGAGATGACGCAGAGGTGTGAGTAAGAACGAGAGAAAACAAAGCAAAGAAGGGGTTGAAAATATTATCAAGTAAATTGATCCTTGGTTCTTAATTGGATTACCAAGGCAGGTTTAAGTTTTTTTTGTGGCCAAGGCTTCAACAAATTTAAGTATGTGACCCGACCTTGTTTTATATATCGGCCTAAAGGCATTGTTGAAACCAACCTTATGACCCGTCTCTATAATATTCTTCGCTATAGATGTTGCTGGACGTCTATTTCAGAGATCAATTGTGTCTGGCGATTTTATTTGTTGTTGAAGCTACTTTGGCATGTGTTCTGTAGCCCTAACCTGCAGATATCTGCTGTCCTGTAAACCCTCACATTTTCCGGACGATAGTGTCGGATCCCAATGTATTTATCAATTTACATGTATATATAGGCACACGTACATAGGCAGAACCCATCGGTCTCTGCAGGTTAGGGCTACGGAACATATTCCAAAGTGCCTGTAACAACAAATAAAATCGCCAGACATCATCTATAGCGAAGCACATTATAGAAACGGGTCATAAGGTTGATTTCAACAATGCATTTAAGCCCATATGTAAAACAAGCTTCGGTCACATGCTTAAATTTTTTGGAGCCTTGACTATAAAAGGGCCTAAACCTGTCTTATGTGTCCAAAAGTTATTTGTTATTACTTTAAACCTGCCTCGGTAATCCAGTTTAGAACCAAGGATCAATTTACTTAATAATATTTTCAATCCCTTCCTTGCTTTGTTTTTTCTCTTTTTATCTCTTACTCACACCTTAGCGTCATCTCACTATCCATTATTTGTGACCTTGACCTGTAAACAATCTGACCTGTATTGTAATAATTCATGCCTTCTATAAAACTGTATATGACAAGTACGCAAATACATTACACGTTTCAGATAAACTACGTCTTATTGTATTGTCGCGTCGGTGGCATAGCGGTTAGGACGCTCGCCGAACATGCACATGGTCCGGGGTTTGATCCCCGGCCGACGCACTCCTTTACCTCGCTAAGCCGGAAATAATGCTGGTGAAGAGGAAAGGTTGGGCATGAGGATAGCAACCCCATCCTGTAAAACAAACACTGCTACAGAAACTTCAAGCCACTAGCTTGAAACCCTATGTTCCACTGGGGAACGTGAAGGAAATATATAATAATAATATTGTGTTGTCGAAATTCATAAAGGGAAATAATTGCTTTGAAAAATAGAATGGAAAAAATGCCCACTTTTTCTTTATGTAATATCCCTGTGGTAGTAGGATGAAAGGTGTTCTCCCTCTCACTTAACTGGGAAAGATGATGAAAATCGGTGCTCAGGATAAACTGAAAAACTCTGATTTTGTTACAGTTTCAATAACTAGATCCCCGTACTCTAATCAAAACTGTTAGGCTATTTGGTTGTATCAGTGAAATACCTAAGTACAGATTAACTGCATGCCGGTGACAAAGAAGACAGCAGATAGAGTCGAAGCTATAAATGCGCATTAGCTTTGGCGAAGCAGATGGGTCAGTGTAGTCAGTATTCATCTGGGAGGATGAGAAAAAAATACCTCATTGGTGAATAGTTCAGCTAGTCACATGAGTGATGTGATATAAGATTCAGGTATTCGGCTAATTTTGAAGTTTATGAACACTAATGTGACAGGAAGGAAGTGGTGAGCTGTAAGTTGTGATTAGGACTCATCAAAGGTACTTCAAGGCATGTTTATCTAATTCCACTCGTTATTCTGACTAGGATATGTTGGAGCGAATATTGTTGGCTAACCTCAGTTTTGAATAGCTATAAAGGCACGGGGTTTCCTGATCGGTATAAATTTCTCAAATATATGAGAGCAGTTTTAGTACCTCACTTGGCAGTTCACCTCTTCGTTAAGATCTAAATTTGTTCATGTGGGGCTTTCACTGTCAATTGTCTGCTCTGGCATTAGTATTCTGTGATCTTTTGGAAACAACATACTTTGTTTGCCTAGTTCGTGCTAGTCGGCATTCGTTGGCAAGGCGTATATGCAACCTTGAAGGAACTCATATCCCATCTGAGATTGACTGATAGAATTCAGTCTGCACCAACTGAAGGGCTAGACACATTACACTAGCTAGTATCCAATACTGTCCAACAGGAGGTCAATTGGGAGTTTGAAAATCTCAGTAGTAGTAATGTCTCTGACTGCAGGTGTCATCGCATGACGCGTCTTCGAATATGAATTGCCCCTTCAAGGCTGCAAATCTATACATTATTATCAGTGTTTGGTGTTCATTCCTTGTATCCCGAGTGAAACATCGAATTTCAGCCTGGAAAGAAATATATGAGTTGGTTCTGTGTTGTCGCTTTCAGTTGACTTTATTTCACCATCGGGACGCATTAAGATTCCACTTGAGGGCCAGGTGTGTAGGGTTAATTGTTGCAGGCTTCCACATCGTAAGTACAATCTGTTCACTTCTGCTTCTCCTGTTTGTTTGTATGGAATTAGATGGTTGGTTTTTGCTGCAACAGATGTGAAAGAATTGAATTTTAAACGACCCCTGAGATCTTTAGGCTCTCCGATAGTTGAATAGTTCTCAGACCTCCCACTCAAAAGCATGTGGCTGTTAATTTCTGACTGACTGATTTCAACAAAGAAATTGTACATAAGTGCAAGAGTTCGAGTTGCCAGGGTTCAATAGATATAGCAGATCACAAAGTGTGAATGCATCTGCGCCAGCCATTGAGAACGACTGTTTTGAACAATATCAACAATTCTCTCCAGCCGCCGCCATTGGTCCTCTCATCCCGAGAACCCCAACCAACCAGTCAGGAAGTCTACACCTTCCAAAGTAGCGGCTGGCTCAAACTAACTGTTATGGATTTCATTGACAGATGAGGCCATGTTTTGGTTCGGCCACCACACCACTAACTAACTGTTTTCCAACTTGATCAATCCTATGTCAGTTGACATTGCCGGCCGAGGAAGGTGATGGCTAGACATGCACTACACATATCCTAACCATCTCAATCGATGCAGTTACTTCATATCCTCATCGATTGATTTTCTCTCCTCACCCAACGTCAGTATTACTCATCCTATTATAGTACCTAACATGAGAGATAGAATCCAGACACCTATAATCAAAGGCAGCTAGTCTTTTCGTGACTTCCACTTTAAATGGCTATCTGTCATAACAGTGAAGCAGGACGGAGCGAACCGCTGCTGACCAGTAAACATCTCCTTCGGTCGATAACCAGATATTACGTCTATGCCAGAGATGGAGTAAGTGGGCAAATCCACATGTGAACCTTTTGTATCTATGATGAGATTTCATCATCAATCAACCCGTTGGGACTGATGCAAATTCCCAAATAAGTGAAATGGTCAACACTCTACCAGGAGTCGATGTATTCCAGTCCAGTAGCATCATCTCATTTGCATTTGACAGGAGCGAATCACGCACCAAACATTCGAAGATTGGCTGTTAATGTCCAAACATAAAAGTGCTG